CACTGCGCGCGCACTGGCGGAGGCGCGCCTCCCGGGCCCGCCCTCGCCGCCTGCGGGCTCGCTGCGGCGCGCGCTTCAAACTCGGGAGGTGGAGTCCCTGCAGAACAGGAAGGGAGCTTGGGGCAGCTGCAGGAGGAAGCGGTGGAGGAACTACGCCCGGCTGGCTGCCCTGCACCGAGGAAGCCTGCGGCACTGGGGCTTCCCAGGACCGGGGGAGGAGGCTTGCCTGGTGCCAAAGAGGGGAGCACGCGGTTCTCCATCGAAGGCACCGCCTCCTGGCTCCAGGGGCTGTTCTCAGCTGACTCAGGGACTTGCGTGTCCCCAGTGAGGCCACCAGTTCCAGGCGTTGGGCAACCTCAGCAGACGCTTCCTCTTCATAAAGTTATATGTGCATGGCTTTGCTAAAGGGAAGTAGTGCTGCCGGACAAGATATGGGACCTGGCCGAAATCTCTGCCTCAAGTTATTATTTTAAAAGCTGTGCTGCGGTGTATTTAAGTCTAATCAGATTTTGGAAATAGCAGTTTCTAGTAGGAATAATCTGGTTTCCTCCAGGTCAGACTGCCACCCGCAATCTTCATAATCAAACCAATCAATTTACAGAAGCTGCCTTTGGGATGTTCCAGAATGAATGAAGTAATAGCTGATGACTATACTTGAGTGCAGTCTCCCAGTCTTAGTATCCAGTGCTATTTCTGAAAAACTACAGGTTAGCTTGGGACAAAAAGCAAGCAATTTTAGGAACCACCCAGCAGTCCCAGGTCACAAGGTTTCCTGGGCCAATATATGGTGCCATTAGCTTTTCATCCCCCAAGGCAGTAGGACTGTCTGCAGAAATGATTTGAAGACCCAAATTCTCATTGCCTTCCACCACGTTCCCTAGCACAAGCAGTCACCGAATTTTCTCACTCCACTGTGAGTCCATATTCTAGAATATGGAGTATAAAAACCAAGAGTGTTATTGGCCAGGTGAGTCCCCCTGCTGCCTCTCTCATAGTGAAACCAGACACAGACTCTGGAAGAAGAAGGGAGTTTATTTCCTTAACTGTTAACAGCAGCCATTCCTGACCTTATTGGCATTAGGGATGTTTTGTGGAAGAGAATTTTTTCATAGGTGGGTGGAGGGCGGGTGTGTGATGGTTTCAGGATGATTCAAATGCACTACGTTTATTGTGCACTTTTATTTCTGTTATATTGCACTGTAATATATAATGAAATAATTAGACAACTCGACATACTGCATCAGCGGGAACCCTGAGTTTGTTTTCCTGCAACTAGATGGTCCCACAGGGACCCCGTGAGCGTCTAATGCCTCTGCTGATCTGACTGGAAGCAGAGCTCAGGCTGTCATGCAAGCCATGACTGGAAATACAGAAGCCCTTGCCTGCAGCTTTCTTCCTGCTATTCCTGGCAGGCCTGAACTGGTACTGGATCGTGGCCCTAGGGTTGGGGAACCCCTGGGTTACAGAGAGCCAGTCAGCAAGTACAATCAAACAGTCTTGAAAAGCACAACATGTTCTTGGTATTTATAGGTACAAGATACAAGCATCTGCAAATCACTCCTCACTATACTCGGAGCCAGTTGCTTTCCCCTGATTCTGTCAAGCACCCATTCCTGGTTCTCTTACCAATTCTTCACGCAGCTCCTCCCTGTGACTCAGCTCTTGATCAGATTGCTCGTTTTTTTTTTTTTTTTGAGAGGTTTTTGCTATAGGGTGTGTGTGCTCGCCGGACAGACAGAAAGCGAGAAATCACCCCACAGGGGGGGATGGTCATGCCACAATCCCTTCCCCTCCGTTCTCCTCTCAGGATCTTGGGCACGCACACACGCCTAGTGTGAGTTTTAAGCCACCGGGTCCAGGACACGAACCGCGGTCGACTACATGGGAGTCCAGCGACATAGCCATTACACTAACTGCTGGTCCCCAGATTAGTCTTGTTAAAGGCCTTTCTTAATTTCAAAATGGCTGCAATTCTGCTAAACCTTAAACCAGCCCGTTTCAAAAACATGACCTTTGGGTCCAGAAAGACCTGCTGGATTCAAGTTTTATGATCATGAGTAAATAATTTATCTACAACATCTGTTAAAATGGGACGGAAGGGACCAGCAGGTGGCGTAATGGTTGCATGGCTGGATTCCCGCATTCTCGACCACGGTTTGAGTCCTGGACCCAGCAGCTTCAAATTCATGCTGTGTGTGTGTGTGTGTGTGTGTGTGTGTGTGTGTGCATGCCCAAAATCCTGAGAGGAGACTGGAGGAGAAGGGATTGCAGCATGGCCATCCCCCTTGGGGGTGGGGTTGATTTCTTGCTTTCCGTCTTTCTGACTCCCTCTGTTTCTCCAGTGGGTGCACATGCCCAATAGCAAAAATCTCTCTTAAACAAAAACAAAACAAAAGAAAGGACTGAAGTAATTTATATAGTATTCTTGCCAGAAATAGAGAAGTGGGTGACAGGCATGTAGTAGATATTCAATAAACGCTCCTGTTGCCTTTACATCAGCTGTGCACAAATGTAATCCCAGAACCATGACCCACCCCTCCACTCTTACCCTCCAACCCCCTGTCCGTGGAAAGACTCTCTTCCACAAAACTGGCCCCTGGTGCCAATGAGGCTGTGGAGGGCTGCTGTTTCATACTCAGTTTGACCTGGCAAGTCTTCCTAATCATGTCTAGGGCCTTTCTGTTTTGTCCTCAGTCACTGAACGAATATTTACCTGTGTGTGTGCCAGTTATGGAAATCAGCTAGCCCTTATTGGAATCCTACCTTTTAATTTACATTCAACTGTCTTCCTTTTTTCTAAGTCCACCGTGTGCAAGGCTTTGCTTATGCATCGTCTCGTGTGTGTGTGTGTGTGTGTGTGTGTGTGTGTGGTGCTAAAATGAGTGCCGACATTACTCACCCTGAGAAGAGGCTTTGACTTCATCAGGAGCTTCCTTACCCAGGGTAGCTCAGGCAGACCCTGTATTGATGTCCCCTTCTCACCCCGTTTCTCAAGCAAGTGTTTCCCGCATCTCACCCGACTCCTGATTGCATTTTCCACCTAGCAGTTTTATTTTTATTATCATTATTTTTAGTTTGCTAGAGAGTACGTGTGATAAGTAATAATAATGAAAGAGAGAGAGAGAAGAGAAAGAGAGAAATCACTCCCCCCCCAGGGGGGATGGCTACACCACGGTCCTTCTCCTCCATTCTCCTCTTGGGATTTTGAGCATGCACACGCTCATGTCTTGTGTGATTTTTCAAGCCTCCTGGTCTAGGACCACATCGTTGGCCGTGTGGGATCCAGCTACCTTAACCACCATGCCACCTGCCTGGACCCCATCTAGAAATTGTATACCTTATTCAATCACCCCATCATTCTATTCAACCTCCCTCCATCCTCTACCCTGGAGTGATACCACATTGCTGGCCAGTCTTTTTCTCCCATCCATCAAATATTAATGTTTCTACTACCTAGTTTTACTCTTTTTTTTTTTTTTTTGAGAGAG